AAACAATATTGAAGTATATATTTTCAATAAACAGTATATTATATTTTAAATATACAAAAATGAATTAATTTCTATTAATAAGTAAAGAATATTTTATTACATTTAGACTTACTGTACAGCAATTGGAATTATTCTTTGGTCAAAAATAATATCCATTTAAAGTAAAACAAAAAATTTTCATTTCATATACAATCGTGTTTTATAATACAATTAAAGTAATAAAAGTTTAGTACTTTTAATGAATTAATAATTTAGTGAATTGAATGAAAAAAGTCCAGAAAAACACTTATTCTTTATGATTAAAATTGACTTAACGTTAGACAAGAATTTTATTCTGTCGTTAAATATTCACAAATAGACGTAAAACACACAAACAATTTTCAATTGAGTCCCAATTATTTGCACTGAAAATATTGAAAATACTTGTGAGTGAAAAGTAATATTAAAAACAATTAATTGAATTATAATATTTGCCGATCCATAACACCGTCGGTTAGAAAATAGATTGTTTGCATTCGTGGCTAATATTAAACATTATTGTCTCCCATATTATTGTTGATATTATTCTTGACTTCAGTGGTAGTGTTTCTATCACTAGATGTGCTGATCAGTAGTATAGAGCACATGAACACCAGTCCGGACACAGCGAACACCACAAGTGTTAGTATGAATACAGTGACAGCAATCTGTTCCAAGACATCACTGAAACGGGTCTGGATTTTGGATATACACCACAGGACACCACTCAACAGCAGAAACAATACCATAGTTATGGCCGCTTTGAATACGCGGTCCACAAACGGATTGGTGGCCATCGAGTCGATCAGCTCTACGCCCACAACACTCAACGAGTCCTCCCGTTTGCCACCGCTTCTCGGCTTCTGGTGTTCATTACTCGTCGACGGCTTTGTCTCCGCGTTTCGCTCAACATTTGCCACTTCGGCCATCGTTTTCATCGTTTCCTCAGATTATTCAATAAGTTGTTGAAGAAAAAAGTGACACTTCTTTCTAATCGCCAAATGTATGAAAACTATGTTTAGCCAAAGACATTATACGCCAACAGATATTCATTCGCACGAGTATTTAATCACACGATTCAATACACTGTAGAAGTGAGAGATTGATTGAAGAAGAGATGTTAGAAAATGCTGTTAACTTATTCAATACGTGAACACTTGTAGTGTATGTTATATAATAGGTTTTGTTGGGAATATAGTGTTGTGTGATATACAGTAAAAAGTGTAGTGAATATGTTGTGCGGCATTCAGTGATAGTCTCCAGAATCACATGAATATATGCCGCGATATAATACTCAAAGAATACAAATCTATCCCAAAAGCCGTCTCCATAGCGACCCATCACTGAGTCCTCTCTCACTATCCTTTCATATGATATAAACTCAGCGCTCAATACCTCTAACACAGAGACATAGTGTTAGCGTTCAATCGTGTCTCAAGTCTTAGCCATTATTTTATTGCCTCAAAAAGTGGAGCGAAAATTTCTTTCAGACTATTTTTCATCGCATTTGTAGACTATTTCTAATCTGTATTTCGTTTTGCTTTTATTATATAACTTAAGGCAGAGATAGAGAGACACAAGACGTTCACAATTCAATAACGTATTTTCAATACATTTAATAACTATTATTTTTTGCGCTCAAAATATCTTGTCTTAAAAATCAATTTCTCCTTTTTGGTGAGACAATAATCAGATCTCTCTCTCTCTCTCTCTCTCTCTCTCTCTCTCTCTC